GGTATGGGTCAGGTGAGATTCAGGGTGTAGGAGTGATTCGAAAAGAAAAAAATGTTCGGTTGGGGAGGATCGTGACCGAGATATTGGGGAGGGAGGACGCACTTGAAAGGTCGAGACACGTTCGAAGGTCAAAGACACGTTGAACAAATATAGATTTTAAATATTTCTGCAGTTTAAAATTTTTTTATGCATAATGACCTTTTTAATATGCATAGCACAGAGCTAATGCGGTACAATACTTTTTAAATACCTTATTTTCTTGTAGCAAAGTATTACTTTTTTTAGTCTTTGTAGCCATTTGTCTGACATTTAATTTAGAAAATTTCTCATATTTTGCGAAATTATTTATGTGAATAATCTATTTTGTTTGTTTAGATCATTTATTTATTTTGAAAGTTTTATTCATAATATATATTTAACAAGTATCTTTGCCTTTATCAACAACTCTTTCTGAATTTAAATCAATAAATGTAATTTAATGTTGTTTATCATCAATATAACTTAATAATAGGTGTAATAAAATTATTAATTGTTCTACATCCTTAAAAATTGTAAAGAAAACTTTATCATGATGTTGTGATGATTATATTCTATATTATCAAATCTTGTGTAATATGATTCATATAAATCTATTGTATGTAGATTTAAGAGAAGAAGATACTAGGCTACACTAAACATATTTACTATATTATGCTATGATAATACGATTGTACGATAAGAACAAAATGGTGCTATAAACTGTTCTGACAAAATAGATAAAGCTGAAAAAGCATTTGCGGAATCAGTAAAAAATGAGGAAAGGTTTCTAGCACCTCAGGGTCATTGTATCCAATTTTATTTGAAAAGATAAATCTCATTAAAGTTATACTGTAATTTGACTTGCCATCATTTAAAAGTTTTTAATAGAGCTATTCCCGAGGGAAAATATAAAAGCTCCATTTAAGTGTTTCAAACTTGAAGCAAAGCTTTAATTTTAAATCGTGTGTACTATTTTGAAGAAAAGAATTGTCTGGACTTCATAACCGGCGAAAAGCCTAAATATTTAAAAAAAAGTTATTTTATTTTTAAAAAAAATCTCCAATGTGTTTCTCCGCAGGTTTTTTCTCATCGATTAAAATAATTTAAATCAATGAATTAGTCCAAATTTTTCAATGTATTCATAAGCCTAAAATATGAAACGTTGATGCAACTTATCAAATATTAAAAAAGTATCAGTCATGGGATCAATCATGAATCATTCTTACAAAATCATAACAAAGAAATAGCATATTATTTAAGTTCAAAGGCATTATTTCGTATGATGACAAGGCCTTCAAACAACAGCTTTATTTTTTAAAAAAAAGATACTTCAAAGTATTAAAGCGCATTTGATAAATACTTAAATTCAACACGGAGCGCGTTAAAATAAAACTCAGAAGTGAACTAAACAAAAAGTTCTCAACGTTTCAAAGCAATTTTAACATCCATTGAAATAATACAACAAAAAAGAAATATTTGGCTCTATTTGTTGAATTCATATCCTTAAAGAAACATCACGGTATTGGATAGACGATTTACGATGCCTTTCAGAATTGAGTTCTGCCTAGTCTTGAGCATTCCAACCGTTTAGAAATTTCCGTCGCGGATGGTCGTCTGTTTGTCGAATCTTCCAGAAAAAAACTTTTTTTACGATTCTTTTTAAGGTGTTAATCAAAAGTGCCGTCCTTTCTGAGAAGTTTTAAGATGAAACAACTATAAAATATAGCTGACTGCCTCCGTTAAGGTCAAAGACATTGCGTGTCCGTAATTGGTAAGTAGCAGCTCTCACTGAAGAAAACTAAGTTTATCTGAGAACATTTGTCTAAGTATGTAAAAAAAAGGAAATGTTTTCTAAGTATCAATTCGTCAATGAGTTTTTAAATCTGGACACAACTTGAAATGCATGTTTACAAAAATGGACACAGCTCAAATTGAGTGCTCACGAAAATGGACACAGCTTGAAATGAGTGTTTACGGAAATGGACAAAGCTCAAGTTGAGTGTTAACGAAAATGGACGCTGCTTGAAACACGTGTTTACAAAAATAGTCATAGCTCAAATTGAGTGTTCACAAAAATGGACATAGCTTGAAATAAGTGTTCACGAAAATGGACATAGCTTGAAATGAGTGATCACGAAAATGGACACAGTTTGAAATGCGTGTTTACGAGAATTGCCGAAATGCGTGTTTGACCTTCTGACGCAGATGGGACACCTGCGTCTCTTTTAAATATTTTTTTCTGATGTTCTGATTTAAAGCAAAAATATATTTTGATATTTTTTTAATTGTAAAAAGTATTTACTAGTGACTAAAAAAATTTTTTGATAACTATTCTGGCACTGGAACTACTTCTAAAATCATTTGTACTAAAACATTAAGTCCAAAAAAGGAGTCTGAAAAAAAAATTTTCATTCATATTTGAAAAGTTATCAATTGATTTTGTAAATTAAAGAAATTTCAATGAGGAATAAAATTATCTTAGATCAAAATAAGTGCAAATTTGAAATAATATTGTTTAGAAGCGAGCCATGTTTGGAAGATTTCAACGCAGAAAACGAAGCCGGTATTTCATACTGTATTTCAAACCATAAATTATTAAAACGCTAAATATAATATTTTTTACTTATTTTGATCTAATTTAATACAAAATAAGGAAAAAAGTATTAAAAAAGTATGTTCAATAATTATTCTGCGGCAAAGAAAATGGGCATACCTTTTGATTTGATATTTCTAAATTCTTTTATGAACATTTTTTTCACAAAGCAAACTAAAGAATCCAAATTAATTAGTAATATGACATCTTCCATTTGCATAAATCACCCGGTGCATTTTATTAAGTTGGTCTTTTTTTTTGAAAAAATAAAATAATAAAAAAAAAGACTTTAAAAATCAACAGTAGTTTTTACAAGAATGTCACGGGTACTGCAAAATTTATAATAGTAGTTATAAATTTACGTTGTTGGAATTTACAGATTTAAAAATAACTCAGTTCAGAGTTCTCAATATGAAGAGACCTCTTGAAAAGTTACCCCACCCCTATTAGTTACAAATCTGCATTATACCCGGCCACTCTATGTTTAGTCACGGACTTCAAAGATTTTGAATAAGTAAAGAAAAGTAATCCTGTCATTCCCCGTTTAGTTTCGTAAACAAGCATTTCAAGTTGTGTTCATTTTCATAAACCAGCATTCAGAGATATATTTCCTTAAACACGCAGTTAGAGATGTGTCCATTTCTTTAAACATGCATTTAGAGATGTGTCCATTTTCTGAAACATGCTTTTTGAGGTATGACCATTTTCGTAAGCTGTGTCCAGCTTTAAAAACTCTCCAACGAATTGTTAAAAAGGAATTTTGTCAAAGTATCCTATGTTATGGGGAAAGTTTGTCAAAGTATCCCTTGTTATAGGAAAATTTGACAAAACAATTGTTAAGGGGAAAAGGTTTTATGCGATTTTCTCTGCTATTAAAAAAGAGCTTATTAAAATCCTTCGTTTTTCCTCATCGATACCAAATTTTTAGCATGGTTATTAAACAGTTGAATTGTCTGCGAAGAAATTTACCCTAAACATTGTAGAGTGTTCCCTTTTCAATGTACAGTTTAATAAAACGAATCGCTAAAGTGATTCGAATCAAGTATTTCAAAATCATGACTAAGAATATCTATTTAATTGTTAGCATCAACAGGTACAAATTTCTACGAACAAAGTTTGAATTAACTTATTTGAAATAAGTTTGAATTTATGTAATGATCGAATAAATTAATTTGAATACATTCCAATGAATGTTCTGAAATTAAATTATTAGAATTTCTGAATTCGCATATTTGAATAAACGAATTCTATTCCATCATTCGGATTGGAATTAATAGATTCGCTTTTCAAAACATATTATCTGCATCAACTTATTCGAATCTTTAAATCAATAGTTTTAAAGCAAAATCTTCAGATAAATCCCGGATTGATTTAATAAGTTGTAACCGAGTTACTGAATTTGAGATGACTGAAATTGAGTTAATAATTGAAGAGATTTTCTCTTTATATATATATTTTTTTGTAGCTTGTCATTGTTAAGCATTAAGCATTTCCTTTAACAAACTGTACAAGGTGGTCTGAAATTACCTATTTGAAATAAATCCGTCACCGTTAAGGTCACATATGCGAAATAAAAAATGCGAAATAAAGAGATAAATTTTAAAAAATCAGACAAAACATGCTGTCGAATTAAAATCATCAAACCTATTTTATTTGTTAAGAGAAACCTAAAGTCGGTACAACTGATTTTCTATTCAGTTAGATAATTTAAGAACGATGAATCTGCAATTATTTACAGATTTACACTTTAAGATCATTATTAATATCACAAATCAATATTAAGATCACACTATTAATATCATGAAATAAGGCCTGTGAGCTGAATCAAGTTTACTCAGGAATTCTTAAGTCTTCTGGGTTGATTTCAATATTACCGAGTAACCATAACATAATATTTTACTGTTATTATGATTTTTCGACAATTTTCTAGAAACACAATTGTAATAATTTTTATTTACTAAATAATTTTACAATTTATTAAAAAAATATTAAAAATTTAAATATTTCATTATTATTTATGCAATCACTATACTCTAATCAATATAATTTTACGTTTAAAAATAATCAGCTGTTAAAATATGAAGACTGGTACTTCTTTAATACTTGTGTTAAAATCTATGTTCATACAGAAAAAAAATACAGCTTTCATCAGATTCAACTATTAAAGTTATTACAGTGGAAAATATTGAAAAGTTTTAAATTATTTTTAGAAATCATCTACTTTAAAACTACAATCTATTCTGAGTTGAGATTTCCTATACACAAATGAAAACATTTAAATTATATAGCTCACAAACAAGATTAAATTTCATGTATTAACTTATATCTTACTCATTACACATTTTAATAATTAAATCACATCAAAAATTTTAAATCATATTGAACTTACCCTTTTTAAAATCCAAAATAGTAATAAAACACCTAAAAAACACAGCTAAATCACAAAATTTTCTTGCATTGCATTCCAAATGTTTAATTTGTGTTGATATGTATATTCCCAGTGCACTTTGAAAACACCGTTAAACAAACAAAACGGTCGGGGCTGAGATGTTTTCTTGCTTGATCGAATACGCGGTTCTTTCCAATTCCACTCTTCAGTGATGAATGAAAGGATAACTGGGAAAAGGGTTTTTAGAGAATGTTTGGGATGGATGAAAGAAGCAGTCACACCAGTTAGAAAGAAGAACTGTTCGGCAGCGGACTATTTAAAAGTCATTTCTGGTGTTAACGGTTCGTTGCGAATTCCAAACATTTCGGAACACAATTAGAATGGCTTATAAGTAAAGCACATATTCAAATTATGAATTCGAACTGTGTAGAATTCCAATTTGAATTTTGGATTGAAATTATGTATGATGACAATTGAAACTATGAATTAGAATCTTGTAGAAATTCGATTTAAATTATGAATTGAAATTGTGTATGAGGACATTGCGCACTATGAATTAGAATCTTGTAGAAGTTCGATTTAAATTTTGAATTGATATTAGGCATGATAACAATTTAAACTATGAATTAGAATCTTCCAGAATTTCGATTTAAATTATGAATTGAAATTGTGTATGATGACAATTCAAACTATGAATCAGAATCTTGCAGAAGTTCGATTTAAATTATGATTTGAAATTGTGTATGAGGACATTTCACACTATGAATTAGAATCTTGTAGTAGTTCGATTTTAAATTTTGAATTGATATTAGGTATGATAACAATCTAAACTATGAATTAGAATTTCGTGAAAGAATAGAAATTGTGTAGAATTTCAATTTATTTTTTGAATTAGAATTGTGCGTGATATCAATTTAAACTGCGAATTGGAATCGTGTAAAACTTCAGTTCAAATTTTTAATTTAAATTATTTGAACTTAAATTAGGAATTGGAATTGAGTAGAATTCTGACTACCACATTTTTAAGCTGTTCAAAACAATCTAATAATTCAAGTACGTAATATTATGATAAGAAATCGGCCCCAAATGGACTAGAGGAACACAGAAGCCTAGCATCATTGGATGTCGTCGATGAGCGGGTGGTGACCATTTTGATTAGCCTGCAAAGGGACAGAGGGTGCGTGGTATTGGTCCTCAATGAACTATTCTACCGTATAATGCTCGACTTCTTTCGCAGGTCTTCAGGCTACCAAAGCAAGAGAGCTATCCTCGCTGCAGTGAGTCAAAATTGTGATGATATTTCTTGGCATTCCTCAGGGATGTTTCCCAGACTGTCACCAACTGCACATTGCGCAGCTCTAGTGCAATGCAAATAAAGTATTACTACTATAATCAGGACTTAGATTTTCCTAAAAACATTTAGAAATTTGAATGTCCTCAGTAAACTGATCATAAATTTCATTAGATCACTGAAGTCAAGCATCACTGGTAGCGGTCAGAGAGCGAATGGGTGACCACCTTGCGAAACATGTGCGTCGCTAACGTCCAATCTTTTAGGAGTACCAAAAATACATGGTCACACTAGTTCTCTGAATTTCACACATAAAAAAATTATTCTTTAATTTTCTAAACATCTGAAAAAAGATTGATCTCTTTCTTGATTTTACCCTTCATGAGCTTAAATCGAGGATAATTCATGAAAATTCTCTCTATATATCTGAAATAGTAATATTGAAGGACCTTAAGAGATTTCTAATTATAGAGTTGGACCCATACCCACCATCCCTCCACCACCAACGCCCATGCTGCGAAGGGACCAAGGGTGCGTGACATCAGTTCTCGTTAAACTGTTCCGCCGTAAAGCGTGAATTTCGAGCATCTACCAAAGTCGGGGATCCATCCCCTTTGCTGAGGATCAAAATTGTGACAGCGTATCTTCGGATCATCCTCAGAGATGCTTCTCGGAACGTCGCCAATAGCCCATAGCGCAGCTCTAGTGCTGCGTAATTAAAATACCACTACTATAAGGTAGGTATATTTACTTCGGTAGGTATTTACTTCGCACTAGAGCTCCACAATGGGCTATTGCCGACGGTCTGGGAAACATCACCGATGATGATACAATGACATACCATCACAATTTTGATCCTCTGCTGAAGGAATCTCATTTGTGAGGTCACTTCCTTAATTTAGACACAGGTGAAGTGGAGGGAAGTTTTCTCCAAGTCCCTGTACTCATAAATATTGACGCATGTTAATTTGATAAAATATGAATTTATCAATATTTCCTTTATTCGTAATTTACATTTCGTTAATTGAAAGCAATTATGGCACACTAGCAGTGTTGCTAAATTGTTTTATGCTATTTACGAACACTGATATTCTTTAATAACTTGACACGAACCAAGAGCTACTGCTACAGTAAAGCAGTAATGGCTGTGGAAAGAATGCCACTCTATCCTCGACATCAATGTTTCAAACGCTACTTAGAGGTTTATAACTGAATGAGTTTAATCAAACGTTCTTAGGGCCCTGAACTTAAAAGCTTCGATGTCACAATTTCGAAACTTAATTTGATCTCACTGCTCAATTGTATTTCTAAATATATATAAATGCATATTTCTTTCCATACATAAAATGTTTGTATACTCGTACATATATTAAGAGTGGTTTATAAGCCTTTGTCACTTTGAAAGTCATAATTACATCAGAAAGAGTTAAATAAAAAAATCACTTAGAGTTATAAATCCTCAACATTCACACTTCAATAGATTGGTTAAAACTAGCAGCTACACTACGTTGAAGTTTTCCGAAGATTCAAGGCCCAGTACAGTTATACCAGTTCCATCTAAAATAATTCGCGTGATCCAGTTTCGTCCATTCACAGTTCACGAAATTCTTCATTTTACCAGCAGATCACCGAAGTCAAGCATCACTGACTGCGGACAGGGTGGGTGACCACTTAGATCAATCTGCGTAGGGACCGAAGATGTGCGGTATTGGTTCCCCTTAAACTCTTCTACCGCAAAGTGCTCGACTTCGAATGCAGGTAGTCGGGCTACCGAAGCAGGGGTGTCATCCCCTCTGCCGAAGTTCAAAATTGTGATGGCATGTCCTCGGATCATCCTCAGGGATGCTTCCCAGACCGCCTCCAATAGCCCATTGTGCAGCTCTAGTGTGACGTAAATGAACTACAACAACAACAATAAATCCTTGTCAAGTGGTTGAGAAGAAAGCACTATTTAAAAGATCNTTTTTTTTTTTTTTTAACCTTTTTACTACTTTATTATTTTATTTGGTTTTAACTTGTTTTATAGAATTGTACTGAACATTATTTTAGATATTCAGATTTTTATATTCACTGTTGATGTAACTTTTAGAGATTTACGTATTTTTAATGTATCATTTGTGTATGTATCAACTCTCGTATGCCCTAAAATAGGGCGGGGTGAGATAAGAATAAACTATAATTATGCTAATTACGAACATTGAAATTCTTTAATAACTTAGATACGAATCTGGAGCTATTGCTACAGTATGGCAGCAATGACTGCAGGAAGAATACCACCCTATCCTCGAGATCAATGTTTCAAATGCTACTTAAGAGTTTTAAAACTGAATGCTTTTAATCAAACGTTCTTAGGGGCCTGAACCTAAAAGCTTCGGTGTCACAATTTCGAATTTTAATTTGGTCTCACTGTTCAATTGTATTTCTACATATTTTTAAATGCTTATTTCTTACTATAAATAAAATGTTTGTATGCATGTATTAAGAGTGGTTTATAATCCTCTGTCAATTTGAAAGTCATAATTACATCAGAAAGAGTTAAATAAAAAAATCGCTTAGGGTTATAAATCTTCAACATTCAAATTTCAATAGATTGGTTAAAACTAATGGTTACACTACGTTTAAGTTTTCCGAAGATTCAAGGTGCAGTACAGTCATACCGGTTCCATCTAAAACAATTCACGTGATCCAGTTTCCTACGTTCACAGTTCACGAAATTCTTCATTTTTACCAGCAGATCACCGAAGTCAAGCATCACTCGCTGCAGTCAGTGTGCTGGTGGGTGACCACTTAGATCAATCTGCGTAGGAACCGAGGGTGTGCGGTAGTGGTCCACATTAAACTCTTCTACCGTAAACTGCTCGACTTCGCGAGCGGGACGTCGGGCTACCGAAGTGGGTGTGCCATCACCTCTGCAGAGTATCAAAATTGTGATGGCATGTCTTCGGATCATCCTCAGGGATGTTTCACAGACCGTCACCAATAGCCCATTGTGCAGCTCTAGTGCGACGTGAAAGAACTACAACAGCATCTTCATTTTTAATTATCAATATTATTATTCTGATTTATGAACTCATTACAAACTACAGCTTATAAATCCTTGTCGTCCCGCAGTGGACTGATCGTTAAAACGCGGTTCCCAGCAGATCACCGAAGTCAAGCATCCCTGGCTGCGGTCAGTGTGCAGGTGGGTGACCACTTTGATCAGCTTACGTAGGGACCGAGGGTGTGTGGTATTGGTCCTCGTGAAATTGTTCTACCGTAAAGTGCTCAACTTCGCGTGCAGGTCGTCGGGCTACCGAAGCAGGGGTGCCATCCCCTCTGTAGAGATCAAAACTGTGACGGCATGTCTTCGGATCATCCTCAGGGATGTTTCCCAGACCATCGCCAATAGCCCATTGTGCAGCTCTAGTGCGACGTGAAAGAACTACAACAACAAGAACAATAAATCCTTGTCAAGTGGTTGAGCAGAAAGCACTATTTATGGAATCGCTTCACACAAATATAACTAGTGTTGTGATAAGATACGAACTTGCTACCTCTGCACCACAGAACATTTGTTAGAATGGTATACCTCTCACTCGGGGAGGTTTCTCATATTTTTGTTTAACGCAATCAAAATTAATGCAATTGTTGTGAATGTAATGTAAAATTAAGAGTACTGTAATAAAGTTCTTAGATTCGTTTCACAAAAAAAAAAAACATTAGCATGGTCGTGGTGACCGATCTAATTTTCAGATTTAATACTATATAGAAGAATCCCGGATGTCATTCTCCAAATTCACGGTAAAGCGTAAGCGCGTGTCCTCGATGTGATATTCTGTGATTACTCAAAACCGCGAACCTATGACCTTCTCTGTCAGAGCCCTTACGGAACCTTAGTAAATAGGCAAAAAAGATAAATGTAGGTGATAAAAATCGGGTTCATAAATACGAAGAAAACCTAGTGGTCTTGCTGATTTGCCAAACGCTCTGTAGGATGGAGGTAGCTGGTTTAAATCTACGAAATCTCACGAAGACAATTTTAAAACTTTCCCAAAATCGACTTTTTTCTTATTTTGCATAAGCTTATCTATATTTTTCTAAAAGCTTATCGTGAATAAAATAATGATTTAAAAGCATTGAAAAACTGAAGTGAATTTTGTCAACTTCAATACAGAATTTTGTCAACTTCAACTTATGATTTATATTCCATATCAAGTAATTAAAGTATTTCTAAATGAATAACCATTAATATCTCATAATTTCATTTTTTACGATTACTGTAAAAGAATTAATTACATTTGTAATGTTTAAGGAGCTCCATTCCCTGCTCACTGTCACTCATCAACCACCGAAACCACGGCCTCTTCGCAATCTGAACTAGCTGCTTACTCTTTTTCTCTTTGAGTCTCGTTTAATACCTTAGTTGTTATACCTTA